CTTTGAAAGTCCTTGCTCAGCTGAAAGGGTCCATTACTGTTGTACTGAGCTGATGCTCAGCCTATGGAGGCAGGAGCTCCATATTGGTGCCTCCCTGTCTCTGAGGTTCCTATCTGTTCCAACACTCTTCACTCTACATACTGATACTTTAGCCCTAAGATGATGCCTGGAAGGGCCACAGAAACTCCAATGGCCAGACCAGAGAGGAAAACGTGCAGAGGAGACGGGCTCACTGACTTCCCTGTGCTTTGCAGGCCAGGCAGCCAGAGGGACGAGACCTGGGTGGACGCCATGTGCACCTACAGGAAGGAGCCCTCGGCTGCAGCCTTGGACAGGGTGGGCCTGTACCACCAAGTGAGCAACAAGACCAGAGGCATCAGCCAGCTGGGCCCCTACAGATTGGACAAGGACAGCCTCTACGTCAACGGTGACCCACGCTGCTCTCTCTGCCCCCTCTGCTCTCCCCCATCAGCCCTCCCCCAGTGCTGCCCCTTGCCCAGCTACAGCTCCTGACCCTCTGTCTGTCTCTCTTTTCCCAGGCTACAACGAACAGCCAGTCCTGCCGAGTGAGTATCTTGCACAAGTGGGCTGTGCACAGAGGGCAGCAAGTGCGCAGTGGGGATCTTCTTTTAGGCAGAGAAGTCTGGGGGCTGGGGCTTGAGATGCGAGGGAAAGCCAGGAAACCTGAAAGCTTTTTGAATGGAGAGAAGGGCTGGAAGCAGAAATCTATCCTTGTTGAGCCAAGCATTGAGACCCCAGGTCTTACTCCTTGTCACTTCCCATCTGTGCTTCTTCCAGCTCCCACCCACCCACCACCGACAGCTGCTGCCCTCGAGCGTTTCACCGTCAACTTCACCATCACCAACCTGCCCTACAATTCCGACCTGGAGAATCCAGACTCAGCAAGGTTCAAGTCTGCACAGCGTGTTATGAACACCTTGGTGAGTGGATCATCACTTGGACATTGCTTTGCCCCCACTCTCCTCATAACCTTGGAGGGAGTGCCGGGAGCTCTCCAGGGCTTAACTATGAAAATCTCTCCCCTTGGTAGCTCGACCGCCTGCTGAAGGACACCAGCATTGGCCCCGATTTCCAGGGATGTGAAACAACAGCTTTCAGGTATGGGTCTTGTGTGAGTGTCTGTGCAGGTCTCTTGCTCAGATCAGGGAGTTCTATTCAGTAGGTGTCAGGCCAACAGATGCAGGAGCACAATTCTTATGCCCGCTTTCCATAAAGCCTCCCCTCTATCCTATATTCATCTCTCCACATGCTGATATGGTAGCCTTAAGATGACAACGAAGTGCACCCTAAAAGGGTCACAGAGGCCCCAAGACAAGGTCTAGAGGGGGGGATGTGCAGTGGACAGGATCTCAGTGACATCCCTGTGCTTTGCAGGCCAGGCAGCCAGAGGGACGAGACCCGGGTGGACGCCGTGTGC